TCCTTAGATTCATGAAGAATTTAGGAAATGTATTTGTTAACTTCCAAACGTATATGCAAACGTGTGTCTATGTTTTAGTTGAGATTTATGTTATTAATTTTGTTGTTGTTAATCCTCACCCAAGGATACCTTTCCATTGATTTTTAGAGAGAGTGGAAGGGATGGGGAGAGACTGAGAGAGAGAAACGCCAATGTGAGAGAGACACATCTACTAGTTGCCTCTATCATGCGCCTGACCAGGGCTGGCGATGGAATCTGCAACCCAGGTATGTTCCCTTGGCAGGAATCAAACCTGGGACCCTTCAGTCCTCGGGCCGACACGCTATCCACTGAGCCAAAACAGATAGGGCTGTTACTAATTTTTATCTTCATTCCACTATGGTTCGATAATTTATTTTGTATGATACCACTTCTTTGAAATTTTTGAAACTGTTTCATGGCCTTGTGCATGGTTGGTTTTTATAAATGTTCCATGTGTGCCTGAAAAGAGTGTGTGTTCTCCAATTGTGGAATACAGAGTTCTATGTATAACCATTAGATTACATTTTTGGCTCAAATTTTCTACATCTATACTAATTTTTATCTGGTTGACCTATCAATAATTAATAGAGGTATGTTTAAATATTTTAATAGGATACTTTTCAAATTTCCAATTTTTGCTTCATATATTTTGGAGATTGTTTTATTATGAAAATTCAAGTTTACAATTATTATACCTTCCTGTCATTATGAAGTAACCTTCTTTATTCCAAATAATGCTGTCAGTTTAATTGTTTCTCTGTAGATGATATGCTATTTCTTTTTTCTTCTGTTTTAAAAATCTTTCACTATTTGTTGTTGTTATTGTTTTTATATATTCAATACAACACCAGTACAATGCACTCAGTTCCTTTTTTTTTTTAGATTTTTTAAAAATGCATTCCTTTTTCAGGAGAATGGTGTCTTTAAATAGTAAGTCTTTACCCACTCTCTTTGCATAGTAATTCCCTTCCATTCTTTTTATTCTACCCTTTTGGAACTGACTAACTGTACATTAGGCTTTTATTCTACTGTCAATATTCTTTTAAATTTGTCATACTTAATATCCCATTATTTTTATATTATACAAACTTTATTTTGTATATTATACAAACTTTAATTTGTATAATTTATCCAGATCTTTGTTTGTATGGTATTCATATACAATTTATTAAATCTATATTCTATTATGGCCTATTTAAATTTAATGTGTATTTTAATTATAAGAATTAAGTCAGTGTTTACTTTTTAATTTCAACAATTATGTAAACATAAAGTACTTTTTAGATGTTTTCCCAAATATAAATAATCATTTTAATAATGTCTTAATGTTAATGATGTTTTAACTATATCTTTTATTTAAATATTTCACAGATATTTTATATTCTATCTGGTAATATAGAATATATTAGTGGTTAGGGTCTAGAGCTAGGGTTCCTTATTTAGTTTAACTCTCATTCATAATGGCTTTCAAAAAGCAACTAGTAATCTTTGTGACTTTACTGTGCTTTTACCAAACCTTATCTGAGAAATCTTAAGAGCCTAAATGGGTATATTTTCCTTCAGAGAAGACTTGTGCTTGCTTATCATAGTGGCTAGGAGACCCTGCTGACCTGAGAACACTGGAGATAATTAAGATCCTTTTAAGGGTCTGAGCTTAATAAAAAAATCTCTCTTTTAGCTTTTTCAATTTGTTGGGGACCCAAGACTTACTGGTGGAGTCTATATCTATGAATTAATATAACATTTGCTTCTAGCATCTCTCACTCTTTGATTGCAAATCACTTATCTATCCCTTTGTTATTTTTCTCTTTCCTTTTTTTCAGTCCTGGTAGCTTTTGCATAAGCCATATGAAATTTTAAAAGTATATTATTCAAGATTTAATTGTACTACATTTTATAATGCAAACAACACTACAATATTTTATATTTGAGTAATAATAATATTCCTAAAATAAATTTAGTGAATTTTTTTAGTAGTCTGCATCATATTCAAATTATATTTGAACCTAAATAATCTGAATAACTACATTAATAAGTTATTTGTAGTAACTATGTCAATTTCAAACAGAGCAGACTTCAGAGCAGGGAAATTTGTCAGAGATAAAAATCATTAAACCCTTTATTGACACTTGGAAGCTTTCTTTATTTCTTTTATGACTTATCTTAGTAGTTCCTCTACTTTTTAGTGAATATGGTAAAGCTTTGGGTTCTTAAGTGCATACAGTATAAACACTTTAAGTATAATTTCACAGGACACATAGGGTAACATAATTTCACCAGGCACATACACCACAGTATTTATCCAGGAATCCCCAAGGACAGAAACAAGAATATGAACTCCACTCAACCAGTGTAGCTCAGTGGTTGAATGTCAACCTATAAACCAGAAAGTCACAGTTGGATTCCCAATCAGGGCACATGCCTGGGTTTCAGGCTTAAGTCCGAGTAGGGGGCATGCAGGAGGCAACCTATTGATGATTCTCTCCCATCACTGATGTTTTTTTTCTCTCTCCCTTCCTCTCTCTGAAATCAATAAAAACATATTTTTAAAAAAATAGTAAGAAACTCTGTCTTTGCATTTAAATTATAGAAGCAATATAAACAGTTAAACCATACATACAGTATTTTGTCAGCTTCTTCAGCTTCTACAGAAATCATGACTGTTGGTAGGTTAAACAATGTCATTGTTTCTGTCTCTGTGAGTAGTATGTCTATAGTCTTCTTTAGTTCTTCTTTGGTTATAGTTTTTCTGGTTGTTTTCTTTGGAATTTGTAACTCTAAAATGCACAATACAAATCATTTGCTAATTGCTCCTTTAAAATAGTATATTAAATAACTGGGAACATAATATGCAACCTTCCGTTGAAACTAAGCAAATTTCTAGTCTATATCTACAACAACCTTTTGTTCTTTGTCCTTTTTATCAGTTGTCTTTTGATTTAGATTACAGCCCACCTCTAGTCATCTTTACCAGAGCTAAAGACTCTCCAATGGAAGTTCTGGTTAAATATAGGATCAAAATAGGCTTATTATCCATGCAAATAAGATATTGAAAAAGGTTGGCCTCAAGCTTCTAGGCTAGCCAGAGGTCCAAGTTCCTTTAAAAAAATTTCACTCAGGACTGGGGAAGTTGGAAGAGTCATGACAAGGTATATAGATTACACAGAGTTCAATGTTTTCTGTTAAAAAACAGGGTGTGAAGCAGGAATCCACGAGTGTTTAGGAAGGGTAAAACTTGGATAGCTTTAGAAAAACAAAACTTAAGGGTATTATACACATTCCACAGACTAAGGCTCAGTCTCCTCTTAAGAAGTCCCAGAGCCTAAGAAAAAAACTACTCTTATAACCTAAAAAAAAAAATTCAAGTTATTAATTCCACTAATTCCAGGAAAGTAAGAGTCTAGTCAATCTTCTACTTAATTGCTGAGTTTTGCCTGGATCTCTGTATCAACCATTGTCTGAATGTTGCTTGTATTGAGAAATTGCCTGAATTTTGCATATGCCTAATATGCAAATTGTCCCCTCAGGAGTTCGACCAGGAGTTCGATTGTTCGTATGATGTGTGCTGACTGCCAGGTAGTGGCATGGAACAAAGGAAGGCCCCAGCTGGTAGCCAGCAGCTGGGGAAGGGAGGCCCCAGCCGGCAGCTGGAAGGCCCTGATTGGCCCTGATCGCTGGCCAGGCCTAGGGAACCTACCCATGCGTGAATTTCATGCACCGGGCCTCTAGTATACCTATAGAATTTATTTCATGGGCCAGATCCCCTAAAGCTAAAATGGCCGTACAATTAGATCTTGACTGCATATCCCTCTCCACCTGGAAAAGCACACAAATTTATCAATTTGCCTCACCTGCCCTTATTTACTTCCAGAGTCGGAGAGAACACATCTTCTCCATTCCTAATAGTTCTTCCAGAAGGAGGGAGGGGTAAAACTTGGATAGCTTTAGAAAAACAAGACTTTTTTTTTGTAGGTCTGATGGTTTTACTTGACATAATAAAATTGGTGCAAAACCACTTTTGTCTAATTACTTTTAACCTTTTGGTCCAAATACATAAAATATGCAATATTTACAGCATTTTCCTTTTTGTAAATGCAATGCTTTAAAACACATTATAAAGCACCATAGTAAAAATAGTTTACAAGTAAAAGTACAGAAGTAGGAAAACCCTACCCATACCACAGCTCACTAAATGGAGTTATAATATGGAGTCGCCAGTACCTGTTGACAGCTTTACAGATAACCTGGAGAAACAAATACTAAACTTACTTTTTTTTATATTAATGTGTGGAAGCCTCAACTAAAATTTCAGCATTCTCTGTAGTGTCTCCTCAATCTTAGATACTGGAGAGATAGGAATGAGAAACATTGCTTTGATCTTTTTACAGTATTAGTAATAGTTTGAATTGGTTTTTAACACTAATGATGATTTTTTTTTTTTAAGGAAATGAACATGGCCTACATAAATATGTAGAATATGTGTAGAAAGGGCTGGAGGTGGTCATGACAATAACCCAGTCCTGGTCTCCCTCTGAGAGGATGAGTTTCACTCCTGCAACAGACATTGCTGACTGTCTAAAATTTCATTGCTAAGTCCTTCCCCCTTTCTTCGCCTCTTTCCATTTAACAGAGACTGAAACACCACGTATTTAGGTTTCCTACACTCTCTTGAAGTTAGGGGTGGCCATGTGACAGTTCTAACCAACAAGATAAAATAAAAAAATAAACAAGAAGAACAAAGTCCTCTGGGAAATCTTTTCTTTCCTGATAAGGGAGATGTGACTGGTGCTACTGCCTTTTTCTTTCTTCTGTCTTTAATGTGGATATGATAATACCCAGAGCTGGGGTAGATATGTTGAGACCAGGAGGCACGAGGCAAGAAAGGGCTTAAGAGAATAATGGAGCTGCCAATCCAGAGTCTTTTGTGGCATAATTAAGTCACAAAATTAAGGCCAAAAGGTATCTACCTCTTAACTTCTTTAAATGTGGGGAAAAATAAGCCTTTATTTGAATAAACTAAATTAATGGTAGTTAGGTATCTTTGTCAAGGGCATTCCTATTAAACCAAAAATAAAAGTCCATCACCAAAAAAGAAGATTCCATCAAGCACTTTCCCAACTGTATCAATATTCTCATTAATCCTTCATTATCATCTTAGAGAAAAAGACATCCTTACTCTACTCCAAGGCAAATGGCCCCTCAGGTAGGCACTCCTTTCTTCTGGTACTTCTGACCAACCATTGTTTCCTTATTCTTTTATCTTTACTTTCATAATCTTTTGCACTACCTCATGTTTTATCCTTGGCTTGGAACGGGCCTCTCCTCTTCGTTCTCACAAATAACTATTATATTTAAAACCCCATTCAAATGTCAGTAATGTTCTCTCTGTGAACATTCTCTCTCTTTCTCACCTCAAAGGAGTTAATATTTCCTTCCTAAGTGCTCCCATCATATTCAGCATATATCTTATTACAGCATTGATCGCAATGTATCAGAATTATTTGTCTCTGAGTAAAAAGCTGAGGTCTTTTAAAACATGCTCTGTGATTCTTGAGGCTGGTGGTATAGGACAGCCACCTTGGGAACTTTTAGAATTATATGGATAGTTTACTACCCTGGTAATGTTCATATTGCTACTGCACAAATGAGCATTTGGGAATCATTACCACAGTTCTTCTATCTCAAGTATCCAAAAAATAATGAGCATATGTGCTAAAGGAATATAGTGGTCTGTTACTGCAATAAACAACGGTATTTTCATTACCTGTAACACTAGCCGGTCCTTCTCGTTTATAGGCTTCTTCTAGGTCTTCTGCTATTGACTCACTAGTTGAAAGACTTGACTTAGACACTGAACTGCTTCCTAAAACTGACCTTTAATAACAACATTATTTATTTGCTTAGATGTCCTTATGGATAATTAAACATATAAATGAAAATACAGGTTGAGAAACCAATTATATTATAATCATAAGCAAAATTGACAAAAATTCGTTCTTCAAACATCAAGTTGATTTCTAATATTCTTTAAGTAAGTCATTTAAATATATTTTAGAGATAACATATCAAAACTATACCTAAAGTCCTTCAATGGATTCCCAATATATTTAGGGTAAAAACCTAGAATACAGCCCACCTACCTAGACTCTCTATTTTTAGTATCACTCTTGTCTTCCCTTTTTCTTTTCTTTTCTTCTTTTTTTTTTATTCCTCAATCTTATAGAGCATTCCTACTTCAGGGTCTCAGCCTAGAATACACTTCCTTTCATTTTTCACCAGGTTTCTGCTCATCATTCAAATCCCATCTTAAATGTGACTTATTCATTTTGACAAAGGCTTTCTCAAGATTTACTTAAAAGAAAATCTATGTACTCAGTGGGAAATCAGTATATTAAAGAATCCAAAAAATAACTTCCTTAAATATATGGACTTAAAATTACTCCAAGATATTAAATGCCCCCACCCCCACCCCTTTCTGTCTATAATCCCAACTGCACTCCAAATGGATGGATCAAATTTACTGGAATATCCATTGTTTTGCTGAGCACTCCCCCCACCCTCCAAATCTCATGCTTAGTTAACATCTGGAACTTTTAATTTGTCAGATTGAAAATTACACACTCAAATATTTCTCTTTAATCTTTACATTGTTTTAGGATGCGCTGTTTCATTAGTGCAAAGATCTGAACTTTTCTTACTAAAAGCATTTACGAAATTTCAAGTGTATTAGTCTCTACATAAAAAATGCATAACATTTCATTTACAAGAAAGAAAATTATAAAACAAGAGAGAAATCAAACCCTAGGAGAACAGGGATTTGCATGGGAGACTAGGTGTGAGGGAGGGGAGCAGAAATATGTCTGTGGGTATGTAATACTAGCCCCCTCTTTTGTTTTTTCAGGAAATATTGAGTAAAATTTATATATTTTTTTCACTAATGTTTTGGTGTGAGTGTACAAGAACTTAAGACGTGCAAAGCTCTACATCTAGTTAGACCTAATTATGAGAGGAGCATAGAGATGGCACATTAGGATGACACAGTGGAGCTGGGAGACTGGAGACAATGGACATCGAAGTTACATATATGCAATTTAAATGAAAAGACAATGTATATGATATTTTTAAAAGTATAGAACAGTATACTCTACCTTGAAAACTGCCCTAACATACTAGGATTTAGTGTATTTTGATAAAGGCTGTGGGAAGGTACAAATTCTGATGAGAATGATCCTTCTTGTGATGTCAATAGTTTATTTGGCTTTGGTGTACCAGTATGTGGATCTGGACGGTAAAGAGGTCGAGGAGTAACATCAACTCCATTTACGTCAAACACCTGTAGAAAATGGTAATATGAAATAAGTAAAAAAGATAAGGTTCCTAAATAATAAGTCCTAGAAAATAGAAATAAAAGTAATAGGAAAAAAAGAGATAAGTATAATGTTACTGGGTTAGAATAAACATGAAAAATTAAATGATAAAAGATCTTATGCTTAAAAAGTTTCTAAAGTGGGCATACATTTTTAATTTTGTTCCATTTTTAATTCCATTTAGTTCCATTTTTAATTTTGTGAAAAAACTCCACACTGTTTTCCACAGTGGCTGCACCACCAGCAGTGCATGGGGGTTCCTTTTTCTCCACATCCTCGCCAGCACTTCTAGTTTGTTGATTTGTTGATGATAGCCATTCTGACAGGTGTGAGATGGTACCTCATTGTCATTTTGATTTGCATCTCTCAGGTGATTAGTGACTTTGAACATTTTTTCATGTCTTTTGGGTTCTGTATGTCCGCTTTTAAAAAGTGTCTAGGTCCTTTGCCCATATTTTCATTGGGTTATCTTCATTAAGTTGTATGAGTTTCCTGTAAGTTTTGGAGATTAAAGCCTTATTAAATGTAACATTGGCAAATATGTGCTCCCATGCAGTGGGCTCTCTTATTTTGTTGATAGTTTCTTTTGCTGTGCAGAAGTTTTTAATTTTGATGTAGTTCCACTTGTTTATTTTCTCCTTAGTTTCCATTGTTCTAGGAGATGTATCAGTAAAGATATTGCTATGAGATATTTCTGGTATTTTGCTGCCTATGGTTTCTTCTAAGATTTTTATGGTTTTCCATCTTACACTTAAGTCTTTGATCCATTTTGAGCTTATTTTTGTGTATGGTATAGTTGGTGATCTAGTTTCCTTTTTTGCATATATCTGTTCAATTTTCCCAACACCATTTATTGAATAGACTATCTTGACTCCATTGTAGCTCTGACCTTCTTTGTCAAATATCAATTGAGCATAATGGCTTGGGTTGATTTCTGGGTTCTCTCTTCTGTTCCATTGGTCTATATGTCTGTTCTTGTGCCAGTAACAGGCAGTTTTGAGAACAGTAGCTTTGTAATATAGCTTGATATCTGGTATTGTGATCCCTCCAACTTTGTTCTTCTTTCTCAAGATTGTTGCAGCTATTAATTTTTCTATTATTATTCCATATAATTTTTGGAAAGTTTGTTCTAGATCTGTGAAATATGCTGTATTTTAATGGGGATTGCACTGAATCTATAGATTGCTTTGTCTAGAATGGTCATTTTAATGATGTTAATTCTACCAATCCATGAACAGGGTATATTCTTCCACTTGTTTATACCTTCCTCTCTTTTTTCAATGTCCTGTAGTTTTCCGA